TGCTGACGCTGTTTCCGAGGCAATCTCCTTCGATTCCGGTGAAAAGGTGCAAAGCTTTCGTCCGTCATATGACGCACATCATCAACGCGAGGTAATATCGTCACAACAAAATTTAAGCTCACTTTTTAGGGATTTGCCAGTGAGTTTTCTTGACTCGTTAGCTGGTGATCGTGAAACCGATCTTCGAATCTGTTCACACAACACTTTCACTCGAAATGGAAGTAAGCACAACAATTATGAAACAAAATATTCCTTGAAACCCAACTTTTCTTCGCATATGAATCACATAATTTCATAAAGAGATTGATCAATCTATGTATCCTAAGGTGATTGGATGACTGATAGTTGACTTTTCCCACATTTCGACGGAAAGGCTTCGTGTTTATATTTAATTTCACGCAGTCTTGCCTCCCAAAATATATTCCCATCGTAGTTACAGTGTGCTGCAGTTGCGACCTTGTCTAAACTGGAGCTAGAACCCAAGTTGTGATGGTACAGGTTATAGTCTCCACATGTTAACCACTACGCCAGACTTCCACGAGTGTTTGAGGGTCACATCTTTTATATGGGAATTATTGGTGGTCTTGAAGACCTAGTTAACAAACAAAATTGCCTTATCGAAAATCCCACCGAAGCAAATGATATGAGAAAGGTGTGGCCTTCATTGAAAGTAAATTATTTTTTGTGACCCGAGTCCACTCATGGCAGTGCATGCGAGACTACCACAATGCGTGTTCGAGTCCCGTTGGGGCTACTGATGAGACCAGTTCAGGCAAGGTCGAAAATGCAGTTAATTTCTGCTTGGCTGAGGATATCTTTTGGGAAGCAGGGCAATTATGAATTCAATGGAAACGTAAAGCTAGCTCATCTGATTGTGGGGAAAAATTCAACTTCCACTCCTTCATCACCTTAAACGAAATAGGCTCTTATAGTTTAGTCGAAAATTGGTCAAAGGATTGGCTTCACTTGTCTCTTTAATGAGCTGTAGCTTGGCGTTAAGAATGGCAAAACACACTGAAAATGCCAGCGAGACTTCTCGGAATGTACCAATTTAACGGTAGGACGTCGGGAATTAGCATATCTACTATAACTGACGGCTTCAGATAGGCAACTTTCCATGCTGCAAAAAAGAGGTCAAACCAATTTTATACTATTTATGAATTACTATTTGGGAGACTTTCATTTCGTATGAAAAGGCAGGAAGAAAAGCTTTGAAGGCCAATCGCTCCAAAAGAAGACGGCTGATCGCTGCTCTACTGAAAAAGTGTGGCTTTAGTACGAATTTTGTAAGTAGGTTTTTGTGACTACTAGTAAATC